TCAAGGTTTTTCCTGAAATTAGGAGAAAGTCAAGCAAGATAAATATGATATAAATTAGAAAACACAAATGATAGTACTGGGAAAATGTTGACAGAACTTTCATAATTGAACTAATCTTAATTTCAAGAAGAAAGGGTAAAGGGACTTATAAACTAGATAAAACACTATGTGAAACAACGCCATCAACGTCGCGGGCGAATGCATCGTTATTTTAGGCAGATTTATATTTTAAGGTCGCCGGTCAATATTGGGTGCGACTACTTAGCTCAAATTTTAGGAACACAGCACTGGGTATAATAAAGCTCATCACGTTGTAGCTTCTTAGGTTAAAATAACGTAGTTTTGTGGACTGGAAATTTTCTGAAAACCGACTGGAAAGTCAGGGAATTTTGTTTTCGACTTTGAGTCGACACCCTGTTATCAGAATATTAATTGAATTCATTTCTTATTTCCTTTTGAATCTCACTCTTTCCCTTGGAACTCTACTCACATTGAAAGTCTCCTAAAAATTCATTGGCATTTCTACTCCAGGGTGTCGACTACCTGGAAAAACCTGGAAAGTCAGGGAATGTCAGGGAATTCTATTTATGATCTGGAAAGTCAGGGAATGTCAGGGAATTTTAATGTAGGTCAGGGGAAAAAATAATGTTGATCACATTGCAAAAAATCATGTGTGGGACACATAAAACAATCTTTGAAATTTTATCAGTGCATGACGTCAAAGTTTTTGGGAATATCCCGGCCATCAGATCTACTCGCTGCGTTTATGGACGCCCTTGCCGGTATCTCTTCGAACAAGTTGCTGGAAGTGTCCATGGATGGGCCCAATGTGAATTGAAGCTAGAGGTACAAAAAGGTGGCGAGAAGCTGATAGATCTGGGAAGCTGTGGGCTGTATATTTTGCATAATGTATTCAAGGATAGTGTTCGCAGTATAAGTTGGAATGTTGTCAAATGTTTGCGTGGTATCTACAATATCTTCAAAGATGTACCAGCAAGACAAGCGTTTATCACGATGTATTCTGGATCTACCATATTCCCGCTAAAGTTTTGCGGTCACCGATGGTTGGAAAATATTGCTGCTGTTCAGAGAGCAATCAAAATTACTCCGCAAATACGAAAATTCATTCAAGGCGTCCAGAAAGACAAATCGAACCAACGTCAGCTTCCTACCAAAATGTTAAAAACTGTTTGAATGTCTCGCTGCTGATGGCTAATAGTACGTTCAGACTACAGATTTATAACATGTTATAGCACTATCTTGATGGTGGTTTCTGTTTTGCAATTATTTGACAACCGTTATAACATGTTATAACTCTGTAGTATGAACGTGGTATTAAGCTAGCTTTCTTCAAATCAGTTGCTGTCGAAGTTGAGCCATTTCAATGCGAATTTCAGACGGACAACCCTATGGTGCCTTTTTTGTGCAACGTGATGTCTCAAATAGTTAGAGGCATTATGGAAAGGTTCATTAATATTGACCATCTGAACAATATTGCACATTTGATCAATATGATCGCAAAAAGGAACGACTGGACGTTTTTTGGCACAGGTTATTGGTCGGCGTATTCAGAACTATTGTTGGTTGTGAAAATGATTTGCTGCTTATCGCATGGCAACGCCAATGCATGCAGAGAGAGGTTTTTCGGTAAATGCAGAATATCTTTTTGAAAACATGAGGGAAGAGTCAAGGCCCAAGCGCAATTAAAGCGGAATGGCAGTGGTAGCGGAAAAGCCCGATCTGAGTAAGCCTATTTGTCGGATTGAAAACTAGTTAGAATCAAATCGAGTGCGGTTAGGCATCTTGATGTCATTTGTGACAATTGTCAAACTTGCCGTTTCCGTTCCGCTTCCGCCCACATTACGTTTCAGTCCCCGAGCAGGAACCGATAGCTAATTGATAACAAATCAATATCTTAATGTGGTATGATACCAGATTTTGGTATGCATGTGGTATAAAACCTTGTTTTGATTTTGATCACTTATCGAAATATTTTGTAAAATATCAAATGAATACCAAAATAACAAAATGTGATCTTTCAGTTTTTAGACAATTACACCTAAAAGAGTTATTGAATTGGTATTAGAAGACCTTCAAAATAACAAACTATGGTATTCTGGCATCTTAAAAAGCATCTGTTATCCGTTTGTTATTGTAATAACAAAAATATTTATTATTTCGTTATTCGTAGAACATTTTTGACGTATTATTTTTGGTATTTTGTATGTCAGCCTCACTAATACCATATTTAGGTTGCCAGTTATGCTATTTCCATACCTAAATTTGGTATTAATAAGTTATTTTTTCCTGCTCGGGTCGTAGCGCGACGTTAGATCTATGATGGTGTTACTGATGCAGGCGGGTTTTGAAAACTTACAAATTTTGAATGAACTTATTCAGCGAGTTCGAAAAATCGCATTCGCTTTCCATGTAGACAAGGATCGTCGTATGGAAGAAGCTGTCAATTCCGAGAGCTCAAGATGCTCAAAAAGAAGCCGAGAGTTTGCAGGAGAAAATTATTCTGCTCAAATGATAAACATTTTTAAAATTAATCCGAAAATAATCACATAGGGTTTTGATCTAATTTCCGTTCTACTAAGCACATCTCGCACTTTACCTCTCTTTTTTTAATGGGTTTGAACAAAATATGGAATGTTTTCATCAAAGATAACTTTTAAATAAAGATTTGATAAAGAGTCAAACAATGTTGAGATATTATTAAAAATCTAACACTGCTTCTTGATTCTAAATTCGTCCTACGAGATTCAATTCCGTCCTAACGCATTGCAACGCTATTTAATTTTCTTCGTCCTACTGATAAACGTAGAAAAAGGGGATTCGCTAGGAACGCTTCTTTTGTTTTAAGAACAATGAGTGTAAATATTCATACAATTCGGTGTAATAGGCTTCATGTTGTGGCTTATGAACTAACGGATCGGAACAAACGTATTATTGTTTTGTGCATGGTGAAATCGTTGACATTATTGATGATTTCTGCTCGATAGAACGGAAATGGGCGATTACGACGAAGTAGCGCTCTTCCCTATTCAACTTGTAATTTCTGTTTGTAATAGTACGTTCAGACTACAGAGTTATAACATGTTATAGCGCTATCTTGATGGTGGTTTCTGTGTTGCAATTATTTGACAACCGTTATAACATGTTATAACTCTCCAGTCTGAACAAGGCATAATGTGAACTCACTGAGATAATAAAATGTTAATGATAATTAAACATAAATTATTTTGCCATGTCTGCGGTTGTCATATGGAGTTCCAGAGAGTACGAAACTGACTAATCCCCAGGTTCGGTTTCCAAAAGCAAGAATAATCACTGCTCTGTTATTTTACAATAATTTATATGTTAAGAAAAAGGATCGTCTACGGGATGATGTTGATTTGGCTGTGAAATTATGAACACAAATTGAGAGCTTGGTGACATTGATTAAATATTCCTATTATTACTTAGTAATGAATAGTGAGCCTAGTTGTGAGCAGTAGTTATTTATTATTATATTATAATATGTATTTATAGCCCTAGGTTTATTCACATCCTTCGTAGGTAGTCGGTCATATGGTCTGTAAAAATTGTATTAGTATCAAGTTCTGTTGTACGTGCCATGAGTGTGCTATTCTTGATATTTTCGAAAGTTTGCCCTACTGCTCATTTTAAACTAACCTTAATTTACACTACGGTAGCACATCACGGTGTAGGTTCTTAGGTTTAAATAACGAAGTTTTGTGGACTGGAATTTTTCTGAAAACCGGCTGGAAAGTCAGGGAATTTTATTTTTGACTTTGAGTCGACACCCTGTACTCACAAATTCCTTAGATTTCTTCTGATAATTTGTTTGGCAAACTCTCCTGAATTTATTTTCCGAATTCCTTTGAAGATGGAGTTATTCTCAGATTTAATTGTGATCCTTCTTTTAGTATTTAAAAAAAATCCAAGGACTTATGCTACAAATTTGTGTTCTCTTACAAACTTTATGAATGTTTTTTTCTACCGAGCTCGGCTGTACAAATCTCGACAAGAAAAGTGTCACTGAGATCTCAGCAAAAGTCAAATTTGATTGCTGAGTCTCGGATAATGCTTAGCTGAATATCAGCAAACAAATGAAATGGTTGTTGAGATCTCAGTAAAACTTTTTTTTCCGAGATTTGCACAACCGAGCTCGGTAGAAAAAAACTAAGTGCGCTTATTTCTTCAACATGGTCACTAAAGTCACTATTTATAGTGATTAGATATATTCTCATAAATGTTTTGAAAACAATTCTAATCGACGAAAGCACATGAGATCAGTTAGTTCACTGGAATTACCGCTGGTGATATTTCAATCGATTTCTCTGTCAACTTTACAAAAGAACGAAAAAATCAACGCAATTTCCACTGACTTTTTAATAAACTCAACCCTCCGTAACTCCAACTAATGAAGAGATTCGATGTTTAGAACTATAAATTCATAGAAAATCGAACGGGCCATCGTAAAAGTTGTATAACTCAATATCGAGTTGTGAAAAGTTGACTGTACTGTACACCTGTATTAACTATTATCTGCATTTCGACTACATTATTACTACAGCTGCTCGCAATAAACTATTTTAACTTAAACTGCCGCATATCTCTTTACTCATTGACAGCATTGATTTTACAAAGCCGCATATGTAACCTTACTTTTCCATATTTATAGCAAAACAAAAAATAGCTTTATTCGATGGTGGTGACCCCTAGCGCCTAGGCGCCGCGAGATCAGTAATCATCATCTGATGGACACCTTTTCTTCGATGTTGCGCTCGGCCCCAGAGGTCACCCCCGAATCAATAATTATCCCCTTATTACACCTTCGCTTCTGCCAAATGCAATTGCATCGTAAATAACCACCGAGAGTGACCTCCAACATTCAACACACCAACACGCATTGCGAGCCGAACAAGCAGAATGATTTTAATTTTCCCCTTTTTCTTTTTTCTTTCTTTTTCTCTTTTCCTTTCCGTGTTCAGTGCAAAATTCTAGTGAAATATCGTTATAATTGCCTATAAGAGAAAAGAAAGTTATTCTACTAATCGGACACCGATCGGATAATCAAAATTTGTTACAACACACCCACTGACTCACACGTACTGCTACTAGCTGCTACTACAACTGAATAAGCGGAAGAAGAAGAAAATCAATCAAAATTCCGCTCATACTAGAAAGACCCATGTCCTCAGCCAGCATGGATGAGTTTTCTCTTGCATTTGATGATAATCGGCAGAGTGCGACGACGGCAGCGGCGCTGCTCCCGCCAGGCACTACAACCCTGGCCCAGTTGACGTCCCACTTTGAGGATCTCCAGATGAACAGTCCCGGCGGCGGTGGAGGAGGAGGCGGCGGCGGTGGCGGCGGTGGTGGTGGTCCACTTAACATGACCGGTGTCGGTGGCGGGGCCGGTGACAACCATTCCGGTGGCAGTGCCGTCGACGAACTGATTCAGCAAAACTCCAAGGTGTTCGATACATTCGTAGCGATGATCAACGGACTGGCGCCCAAGGTCGAGGAACGACCGGTTAAGTACAAGTCACACACGGAATGCGTCCCGGTGCCGTCGTCGGAGCATGTGGCGGAAATCGTCGGCCGACAGGGTTGCAAGATCAAGGCACTGAGGGCGAAGACTAACACATTCATCAAGACTCCGATCAGAGGCGAAGAACCGATCTTTGTGATCACCGGCACGAAGGAGGATGTTACGAGAGCGAAGCAGGAGATTCTGTCGGCGGCGGATCACTTCAGCACGTTGCGGTCGTCGAAGAAGCAAGCGATGGCCCTGCTGGCCGAAAGTCGGAATATGCTGGGGTACAGCACGCCCGATGAGATTACGATTCAGATCCGGGTACCGCAGAAGGTTGTTGGGTTGGTGGTGGGACCCAAGGGAGCGACCATCAAAAACATTCAGCTCAAGACCAATACGTACATCATAACGCCGAAACGGAACCAGGAATCGGTATTCGAGATTACGGGACTGCCAACGAATGTCCACACGGCGCGGCAGCTGATCGAGGAACACATTGCAACCCGGGCCGGTACGTCGGCCACCAGTTCCAGTTCTAGTTCGAGCTCAAGCAGCTCCAGCAGTTCCAGTTCGAGTAGTTCGAGCAGCTCGAGCAGTGGGGGCAGCACTGCCAACACTTCCCCACAGAGCACACTGACCAACGGACATCACGATATGCTACACCACGGCGTTGGAGGCGGAGTCAACGGACTGCATGGACTGCACGGGCTACAAGGGCATCAGGACTTCGACACGAACCAGTTCATCATCGACAACCTGCTGGAGTACTTCAACAACATGAGCACGGCGTACAACTCGCCGACCAACACGGCGGGACCCACCCTGAACGGTCTCGTCAACCATCATCACCTATCGGGTGGGGGCAATGGGGGTATCAACAATGGCGTCGGCGGAAATGCCGGCGGCATCGGGGGTCTCGGTGGCAATGGAAACGGTGTCGGCAATGTAAACATGGGCGGCGGAATCGAGAGCGTACCGGACTTCCGCAACATCTGGGAGAACCTGAGCGAAAGCCAGGGCTCCGGTGCCGGCACGGATACGGACAACTCGTCGCTCATCTGGACCCTACCGTCGTCGTCGCGCAACTCCGTGTCCTACTCGCCGGATGATTTCATCTTTCAGCGATAAGACGGTGTGAGCGAGTGAGGCGGCGCGCGCGCGCCTGCGCGGAGATGCTACTACTGAGCTTTGTTTATTTTTATTGCTATTATTGATATATAAGATCTATGGTCGGATTTATTTTTTTTTTAATGCTCGGTAGTGAACAGCACGTGTTGTTTTATTCTGGATTAGTTATTTTTTTTTTTGGTGAATTATTACTTTGATACGTATCTATTTGATGAATACAATTAAGAGGAAAGGTAACGGTTGCAGCGCAAATGCGAAGATACGGCCAGTTCCCGGAGTTAGCGAGGAATGGTGAAGAGAACAAAAAAAAAAAAAAAGGAAGAAGATATCGGGAGGACTAACCGAATGATATGGATTGTAGGTGAACAGCAGATAATGTAATAGATGTACAGAGGTTCTTAACAATCATATAACGAAAGATGCAACTATAGATGTATAAAGCGAACGATTGAAAAACAGGTAAAATTATTGTGGTTTTAAAATTTGGAATCAGCACAAGAAAAACGAAAGTAACTTCGATGCGGGAAAATGTGACGTGAAGCAGTGTTGCCAGTTGTGCTAGGACTGATTTTCAACTCTCCCACTCAGGACCTCAGAGGCTGCAACTATTTCGTCTGGTGGCGGTTTAATTTTGGATTGGAACAACGTTTTTTGAAAAGCATTTTGGAGTTTTTATGCAGTTTTGCCGACGTAGATGCCAGCTTTGCTTTTTCGTTGCTACTTTTGCGTTTCAAAGTGTTTTGTGGGTTTGAGTTTGGACGCGATTTAAGACTTATTCGGAGTGGCGATTCAACCAAGAAAACCGTGAAAAAATCTGATTTTTTATTCACCAGGAAAAAAATGGGAGAAGGTCGATCAACAAATTCTGGAACTGCTCACATTCCTCTCAGTCTAAGGTGATTCTCAGGTATCCGAGCTGTCCCTGACCCTGGTAGAGACCCTTTCAGAAATTCCAATATATACACAGGTCTAGCAACTCTTCGATTGGTTATGATTGCCCAACGAGTTTCGCAATAAGCTTTCGTGTTGGATTAGAATCTCCGCGTAATTTGTTTTGGGGTCCTAAAAAGCCCTTCATCTACCTTTCGGTCAAATCTTCAAGTCCGTGAAATTCAACATTGGATTACACCTGAGGTTATGTAGAAACCGTTCATGCTATTGTAGAGAACCCTTAGCACAAGTCTCGAATTTTGTATCGGACTTTTTGGCTCCTTGTGCACCCCCAAGAACCGACCTGCTCCAACATGTTGTAAAACTGTGGGTCGACAGATCAAAACTGATCCTGTATTGTTTTACCAAAGTGTTGTAGATGGTCTATGAGATCGGCTATAAATTCAATACACACTTACAGTTAGGGTTATTTTACGAACATAATTTTTGAGGACAACTCTTGATGAACATTTCAAATGGTCCTATCTGCTTTAATCGATTCTCTTCATCGACTTTCTCTTTCGTTAATAACTCAGCTGCAAAACCTTTCCCTGTTGTATTTGACGTTTTGGACGCTAGATAAGAACCTCCTTTATCAAACTATGTGGTAGAATTAGCGCGAAATCTGTTTGCATAGCAGTGGTTATGAAAGGAGAAAGTCGATGAAGAGAATCGATCAAAGCAGATAGGACCATTTGAAATGTTCATCGAGAACTCATTAACTCTAGTCACAAAGTCCAGACATGTGACTGAACTGACTGAAATTTTTAGTACAGACCACCTATACAGGTAGAATCGTACTGATTCGTCCAACATTTTGGTCCTACATTGTGTACTTCACACACGTCTTTGCAGAATGTTTCTTCGAGTGGATTTAAATAATGAACCACCGGTTACTTTAAGGTCCTTCAGGAGGCCTTCACTTCTCGTCATCCAAATTTGATTGCGCTTTTGCAAGTAAAATTTGACTTCACTTCACGCAATCCAAATTCGATTGCGCATTTCCAAGTAAAATTTGACTTCACTTCTCGTAATCCAAATTCGATTGCGCATTTCTAAGAAAAATTTGACTTCACTTCTCGTAATCCAACTTGCGCTTTTGCAAGTAAAATTCGAGTTCGCTTCTCGTAATCCAAATTCGATGGCGCTTTTCCAAATAAGTTTTGATTTCTCTTCTCGTAATCCAAATTTCGATTGCGGATTTCCAAGTAAAATTTAACATCACTTCTCGTAATCCAAATTCAATTGCGCTTTTACAAGTGAATTTTGACCTAGAATTTGAATTCACTTCTCGTAATCCAAATTCGATTGCGCATTTCCAAGTAAAATTTGACTTCACTTCTCGTAATCCAAATTCGATTGCGGTTTTACAAGTGAAATTTGACCAAGAATTTGACTTCGCTTCACGCAATCCAAATTTAGGTTTTCCAAGTAAAATTTGATCTCGCTTCACGTAATCCAAATTCAATTGCACATTTCCAAGTAAAATTTGACTTCACTTCTCGTAATCCAAATTCTATTGCGCATTTCCAAGTAAAATTTGACTTCACTCCTCGTAATCCAAATTCGATTGCGGTTTTACAAGTGAAATTTGACCGATAATTTGACTTCGCTTCACGCAATCCAAATTTAGGCTTTCCAAGTAAAATTTGATCTCGCTTCACGTAATCCAAATTCAATTGCGCATTTCCAAGTAAAATTTGACTTCACTTCTCATAATCCAAATTCAATTGCGCTTTTACAAGTGAATTTTGACCTAGAATTTGACTTCACTTCTCGTAATCCAAATTCGATTGCGCATTTCCAAGTAAAATTTTACTTCACTTCTCGTAATCCAAATTCAATTGCGCATTTCCAAGTAAAATTTGACTTCACTTCTCGTAATCCAAATTCCTTCATTCACTTCACGCAATCCACATTCGATTGCGCATTTCCAAGTGAAATTTGACTTCACTTCTCGTAATCCAAATTCGATTGCGCATTTCCAAGTAAAATTTGATCTCGCTTCACGCAATCCAAATTCAATTGCGCATTTCCAAGTAAAATTTGACTTAACTTCTGGTAATCCAAATTCAATTGTGCTTTTACAAGTGAATTTTGACCTAGAATTTGACTTCACTTCTCGTAATCCAAATTCAATTACGCATTTCCAAGTAAAATTTGACTTCACTTCTCGTAATCCAAATTCGATTGTGCATTTTTTAGAAGAAGTTGACTTCACTTCTCGTAATCCAAATTCAATTGCGGTTTTACAAGTGAAATTTGACCAAGATTTTTTCTTCGCTTCACGCAATCCAAATTTAGGTTTTCCAAGTAAAATTTGATCTCCCTTCACGTAATCCATATTCGATTGCGCATTTCCAAGTAAAATTTGACTTCACTTCACGCAATCCACATTCGATTGCGCATTTCCAAGTGAAATTTGACTTCACTTCTCGTAATCCAAATTCGATTGCGCATTTCCAAGTAAAATTTGACCAAGAATTTGACTTCGCTTCACGCAATCCAAATTTAGGTTTTCCAAGTAAAATTGGATCTCGCTTCACGTAATCCAAATTCGATTGCGCACTTCCAAGTAAAATTTGACTTCCTTCTCGTAATCCAAATTTGATTGCGGTTTTACAAGTGATATTTGACCAAGAATTTGACTTCGCTTCACGCAATCCAAATTTAGGTTTTCCAAGTAAAATTTGATCTCGCTTCACGTAATCCAAATTCGATTGCGCATTTCCAAGTAAAATTTGACTTCACTTCTCGTAATCCAAATTTGATTGCGGTTTTACAAGTGATATTTGACCACGATTTTGACTTCGCTTCACGCAATCCAAATTTAGGTTTTCCAAGTAAAATTTGACTTCACTTCTCGTAATCCAAATTCGATTGCGCATTTCCAAGTAAAATTTGACTTCACTTCTCGTAATCCGAATTCGATTGCGCATTTCCAAGTGAATTTTGACCTAGAATTTGACTTCACTTCTCGTAATTCAAATTCGATTGCGCATTTCCAAGTAAAATTTGACTTCACTTCTCGTAATCCAAATTCGATTGCGCATTTCCAAGTAAAATTTGACTTCACTTCACGCAATCCAAATTCGATTGCGCTTTTACAAGTGAATTTTGACCAAGAATTTGACCTCACTTCTCGTAATCCAAATTCGATTGCGCATTTCCAAGTAAAATTTGAGTTCACTTCTCGTAATCTAAATTCGATTGCGGTTTTACAAGTGAAATTTGACCAAGAATTTGACTTCGCTTCACGCAATCCAAATTTAGGTTTTCCAAGTAAAATTTGATCTCGCTTCACGTAATCCAAATTCGATTGCGCATTTCCAAGTAAAATTTGACTTCACTTCTCGTAATCCAAATTCAATTGCGCTTTTGCAAGTGAATTTTGACCATGAATTTGATTTCACTTCTCGTAGTCCAAATTCGATTGCGCATTTCCAAGTAAAATTTGAGTTCACTTCTCGTAATCTAAATTCGATTGCGGTTTTACAAGTGAAATTTGACCAAGAATTTGACTTCGCTTCACGCAATCCAAATTTAGGTTTTCCAAGAAAAATTTGACTTCACTTCTCGTAATCCAAATTCAATTGAGCTTTTGCAAGTGAATTTTGACCATGAATTTGATTTCACTTCTAGTAATCCAAATTCGATTGCGCATTTCCAAGTAAAATTTGAGTTCACTTCTCGTAATCCAAATTCGATTGCGGTTTTACAAGTGAAATTTGACCAAGAATTTGACTTCGCTACACGCAATCCAAATTTAGGTTTTCCAAGTAAAATTTGATCTCGCTTCACGTAATCCAAATTCAATTGCGCATTTCCAAGTAAAATTTGACTTCACTTCTCGTAATCCAAATTCAATTGCGCTTTTACAAGTGAAATTTGACCAAGAATTTGACTTCGCTTCACGCAATCCAAATTTAGGTTTTGATTTGATCTCGCTTCACGTAATCCAAATTCGATTGCGCATTTCCAAGTAAAATTTGACTTCACTTCACGTAATCCAAATTCGATTGCGGTTTTACAAGTGAAATTTGACCAAGAATTTGACTTCGCTTCACGCAATCCAAATTTAGGTTTTCCAAGTAAAATTTGATCTCGCTTCACGTAATCCAAATTCGATTGCGCATTTCCAAGTAAAATTTGACTTCACTTCTCGTAATACAAATTCAATTGCGCTTTTACAAGTAAATTTTGACCATGAATTTGACTTCACTTCTCGTAATCCAAATTCGAATGCGGTTTTACAAGTGAAATTTAACCAAGAATTTGACTTCGCTTCACGCAATCCAAATTTAGGTTTTCCAAGTAAAATTTGATCTTGCTTCACGTAATCCAAATTCCATAGCGCATTTCCAAGTAAAATTTGACTTCACTTCTCGTAATCCAAATTCGATTGCGCATTTCCAAGTAAAATTTGACTAAGAATTTGACTTCGCTTCACGCAATCCAAATTTAGGTTTTCCAAGTAAAATTTGACTTCACTTCTCGTAATCCAAATTCGATTGCGCATTTCCAAGTAAAATTTGACTTCACTTCTCGTAATCCAAATTCGATTGCGCATTTCCAAGTAAAATTTGACTTCACTTCTCGTAATACAAATTCAATTGCGCTTTTACAAGTGAATTTTGACCATGAATTTGACTTCACTTCTCGTAATCCAAATTCGAATGCGGTTTTACAAGTGAAATTTAACCAAGAATTTGACTTCGCTTCACGCAATCCAAATTTAGGTTTTCCAAGTAAAATTTGATCTTGCTTCACGTAATCCAAATTCCATAGCGCATTTCCAAGTAAAATTTGACTTCACTTCTCGTAATCCAAATTCGATTGCGCATTTCCAAGTAAAATTTGACTAAGAATTTGACTTCGCTTCACGCAATCCAAATTTAGGTTTTCCAAGTAAAATTTGACTTCACTTCTCGTAATCCAAATTCGATTGCGCATTTCCAAGTAAAATTTGACTTCACTTCTCGTAATCCAAATTCGATTGCGCATTTCCAAGTAAAATTTGACTTCACTTCTCGTAATACAAATTCAATTGCGCTTTTACAAGTGAATTTTGAACATGAATTTGACTTCACTTCTCGTAATCCAAATTCGAATGCGGTTTTACAAGTGAAATTTAACCAAGAATTTGACTTCGCTTCACGCAATCCAAATTTAGGTTTTCCAAGTAAAATTTGATCTTGCTTCACGTAATCCAAATTCCATAGCGCATTTCCAAGTAAAATTTGACTAAGAATTTGACTTCGCTTCACGCAATCCAAATTTAGGTTTTCCAAGTAAAATTTGACTTCACTTCTCGTAATCCAAATTCGATTGCGCATTTCCAAGTAAAATTTGACTTCACTTCTCGTAATCCAAATTCGATTGCGCTTTTACAAGTGAAATTTGACCTAGAATTTGACTTCACTTCTCGTAATCCATATTCGATTGCGCATTTCCAAGTAAAATTTGACTTCACTTCTCGTAATCCAAATTCGATTGCGGTTTTACAAGTGAAATTTGACCAAGAATTTGACTTCGCTTCACGCAATCCAAATTTAGGTTTTCCAAGTAAAATTTGACTTCACTTCTCGTAATCCAAATTCGATTGCGCATTTCTAAGAAAAATTT